TTTAATAGTAGGTTTTGTTTAACTGTCTCTAAAACTCTCATTTCAAAATGAAATTAACATAAGAATTATTAGTGACATATTCTTTACTTCTGTCTTAAAACCCATTGTGAACAAGAGCATCAAGTTAAACTTGACTGAGTTCCTCTTTCCTCTGATCTTTTCTAACTTCCAGATCTTGTATCATCCCAAAATGTTTTCAACCTTTCTGTGTTCCTCTGTCTCAATAGATCCTTTCCCTTCTTCCTTATAGTCTAATATATGATTCCTTTTAAAAAAAAAATCCAAAACCTAAACATAGATTCAGGTACTGGTCATATTCCACTTGGATTTCTGACATATTATCTGCTTATTCCAGAACTGTATTTCAAACACTGCATCATTATCTTTATTAGTCACTGGACATTTATTGAAGACCAGGCCTGGCTTATTTTAGGAGAGAATAATTCCAGATATATATTAAAATATACATATAAAATGACCACTCATGTATATATTTATGTATATATATATGTATATATACATATATATCACACAATTTATGTTTTCTTTGTAAAAATGCTTGAATATGTAACCTATGCTTTAAACAGGAAAAAATATCTAATGGTCACTATAGCAGTATATAATGGAAGCCATGTAGACAGATAACAAAGGCCATAAAAACTTAGAACCTAGAAGGTGCCTATTAGTTCACCTGCTACAGAACATCCACAGGTCTTGAGCCCTTTTGGAATGACGAGTGTGAAAAGGGAAAATACCTCCTGGCCTGAGCAAAGAAGGAAAATGAGAACATGTTAGCAAGCTTCCCATTACTGTAACAAATATTTTAGATAACTCAATTTAAAGAGAAAAGGTTTATTTTGGCTCACAGTGTTGGACATTTCAGTCCATGATTGATTTGCCCCGTTACTGTTGGGCCTGTAGTGAGGCAGCACATCATGGCAGGGACCATGTGGTGGAGCAAAGCTGCTCATCCCATGGTGGCAAAAAAAGCAGAACACAAAAGGTGCCAGGGCCCCAACCTGCCTTTTGTGGGCATGTCTGCTCCCAGTGACTGGGAGGCTTCCCACTAAGCTCTACCTCCTGAAAGTTTCTACCATCTCCCAGTAACACCAAGCTGGGGATAAAGTCTTTAATGCATGGGCCTTTGGAGACCTATAAGATCCAAACTAGAGCAAAACACACAGAGAAACGTGCCTTTCCAGTCCCTTAAAAATGAGGATCAATATCCATACCTTTATTCTTCAGAATAAAGTTCTGGTGCATTCCTCACTCCCTTCCCTATCCCTTAGAATAGTTTCATAAGTTCTTAACTCTGGTGCACATCAAAATCCTTAGGAAGTTTGTGGGGAAAAAATGCTAACATCTGGGCCACACAATAGGTCAATTAATTAACAAACTCTGAAGTTAGATCCAATCATAACCCTAGTATTAGATCTGTAATCTTAATTCAGCTCTATCACTCAGCTCTGTATTTTGGCCCATGTTTGGAATAATATATAGAGCCATGTTATTTTATTGCTTAGAGGGCCTCATTATGTTGTCCAGTTCTTCCCAGTGAGAAAACAGGTCTAGTAAGGTTAAAATCACAAAATTACTTAGGGGCTCAGCTAAGACTAGGACCCTTCAGGTAAGTAGGAATATAAACTGGCTAGCTCAGAAAACAGATAGCTAGGGACCAAAGAGCACCACACTAAGTAATCAACATGGAAGGACAGCCACAGTCAGCCAGGAATGGACCAAGCCAAGGTTGCACAAACAAGGGTAGTGCAGAGATCTTTTAGGACCCACATAAAGTAATAGCTCTCAAACTTCAGTGTATATAAGAATCCACTGGGGGCTTCTTAGGCAGAGATATTCTGGATCCTATCTTAGAGAGCCTGGCTCAGTTATTCCAAGTGGGACTGGAGAAGGGGCAGTTTTAACTAGCCACCAAGGCGATTCTGATGTGATTAAATTGAGAATACCTGCTGGGAATCACTACATACTAACCTAAGGAAGAAAATTATTGGCTTCCAGAGACTGGCTTCTGGGCCTCTGGAAAGTGAAGATAGGTTTGTTTGTAGGTTTATACCTACCACCAATAGGTCAGAACACAGGATCATGAAAGAAATACAGAGATTACCCTGGCAAGATGGAGACCATTCATAATTTGTAATTTAAAAACTGATAACAAAGTAACTCATCTGTATTTCTGTCTACATTGTACTACATTCTAGTACCATTTAAAGTGGATAGAATAGGTGATATTTTCTCTACTTTTCTGATTAATACACATGCCAAGGTTCACCTGTGTAGCAGAAAGACTAAGACCTAACTAAATCCTGGTCCCATATGACAGAAGAAGAATGTGGTATAAACTGTGTGTGAGCTCTGGAAGCAGGCAGACCCTGATGGAATCTTAGCTCCATTATAAGTAGTGTGAACCTTGAACAACTTACCTTCTCTGAATTTCAATTTTCCCATCTGTAAAATGCAGAGTATGGTATCTTCCTCAGTGGGTTATCAAATGAGATAATTGAAAAAATATGCTTGGCACGCAGTTGTTGAGTAAATGTACCACCTTGAGGATAAGTAGAAAAGAAAACAGCTTAAGAAAATGAGAATTTAGCATATGGAGCCCATACTGAAGTTGGGATCTGATTCTAATTAATGAGTAGAATATTGATGGAATTTTAAGCTTGTGGGTTGCCTAGCAACCAATGCTAACTCAATGCTACTGGCTACCAGAGTTGTTGTTTTTAATCAAAGCAATAATTAAACCGCTCTTCAGAAGCTCAAGATTGTAAGCAGACAAAAAGGATTCCTCCATGACTTTGGGATTGTCCCAAATACTTTGAAAAGGTGATGCCCCAACTTCTCAGTGTATTTGTGCTGAAATATCTTGGACGTTGAGAGCCTCCCCACTCCGTGCTCTCAAGGCACAGATGTTAGAACATCTCATGCCAAGTGCTTGCACTTCTATCCCAGCATATTCAGTCAACATTCATTGTGTGTGAGGGGTCAGATGTTGCTCTTCAGAATTTTAGAGTCTAGGAGGGGAATTGATGTTAACTAAAACAGCAAAATATTTCAGGAGTTGGCTGTCTGTGTCTCTAGCAGTATTCTAAGCATTATGGATTGAGTACAAGCTGATATAGCAGGTCTTAAATACCCACTGATAGGGTTTTTATTTTCCTGGCAAACCTATCGTGAAAGAATATTCCACTTTGTTTTCCCAACACATCCATACTACCTGAGTCACAGCCTTGACAGGCAGCTTGGCCTACTGGCCAGGGTATGAAGCTGGACAGAGTACAGCCTGAGTTTCCGCACTGCTGCATGTGTCTTACTGCCTCCTTTACCTGAAGTCAAGGACTTTGTCAATCTGTGCCCTGCTTTTCTCATTTGTAACCTGGGCGTGGTGATTTAGATTCTTCCTCCTCTAGGAAGTAAGTATGATGCAATGAGGTAACAAATGCAAAAGTAATGTGCAGATAAACACAATTTCTGAACTAATCTTCATCAGTTTGCCACCAGGTTTATATTGCCTGTCATTGATCATCCTTGTATCATCCTTTACATTTCCTTATTCCTTTAAAACTCACAGTCTTAAAGGGAAAAAAACAGGTGAATGTAGAGCTATAGAGTTTGCACTGAATTTTTTTCATCATTTGTGTTAACTTTTGCAGGGAAGATCAACTTTGTTGCTTAGGGAAACCCATAGTGCTACTTGGGCATTTCAGCATTTATATGCACAAATTTGACTTAAGGCCTAAGGACTTTTAAGGCATGCAGCTGGTGTATGAATCATGTTCAACATTCATGTAGTGCTGCTGGCACACATCAGAGAACGGCTTCTGCCCATCACCTGCCTCTGTCAGTTCTCCTTGTAATAAAGTACATCTGTTTTGGTGACTGAATAAAAACACACCAAGTGGAGAAAGGTTGGGTGGGGAGTAATTTAATCAGAGCAAGTAAGCATGCTTGAGCAACACAGTGTCAAGGATAGAAAGATGGTCTGGTAGCAGCTTAATGACACAGAAGTATCTGGAAAAGGCCGGAAGCACAGTTCCTCTTATAATTGTACTGGGTCACACTTCTGGAATGCAGGAGCTCTGATACAGCCCTCAAATCAAGATTTTTAAGGGGATAAGCGTTCCATAAGTTCTCATCTGAATTGCCACAAACATTTTACATGGCCTTTCACATTAGCATCATTTTAATATTGGGTTGAAGATTATAAATTTTTAAGGAAGTTCACATCAAAGTTCAGAAGTCCTATTAGCAATTTGTTTTCATATGGCTTTCATGGCTGTGTTCAGTATCCTGAAGAAATGATTGATTTAAAATACCCTGGTTTTAAAAGCAAAACAGCAGGGAGACTGACATTTGCAGACTGGTATTTCGCAGTTCTCATACTCGTTACATTTTAAAAATCTTTTCTGTGTTGTGACAATCCAGTACTATGGAATTTTGTGGTTTAGAAGAGCGAAATGGAAACGTGTTCAGGCTGCTGCTCTGCCTTGACTCCCTTTGCCTCACAGAATGACTGCAGTAGGGGAAGAGAATAATTAGGAATCTGCAGAATGATTCTGATGTATTTAAGAACAAGTTAAGTAAAAATAACAAGATGATTGGAGGTGGAGGTCAAAGTAATTTTGTCCCTTCCTCTCCCTTCTTTTCTTTCCCTCCTTCCTTTTGCTTTCTTTCTGATTCAGTTGGCAGAGTTCTTAAAGCCATTACTTCCTGAGAAAAAGAATTCCCAACCAGGAACTTCCAACAACGGCAGCTCCTTTCTTCCTAGTTCTTAGTAATTATGCTGCCTCTTTTTTACTCCAGCTAAGTTATTTTCACCTCTGTGTGTATGTATACCTTTTCCCTCCATGGGACAAGGTCTGTGATATCTGCTAAATTTATTAACAGGTACTTGGACTATTTAAAAAATAAAACACTAAATGTAGCATACACATCCAAGGCTTTTGAATGATACTATGTTTTTTTGTTTGTCTCTCCTGACTCAGATCACATATTAGCATTTTCACCATATGGCTGAAAGGGTAGAAAGTATATGTGTAGAGGAACAAAGTTGGTAACATTTTTGATCATCTGGTAAATAAATGTGTAAGTATAACAGGAGTATTAATATTTTTCTTTATCTATGTAGCTACAGACATTAGCCTGAAATGACCGCTAGTACAGCCAAACAGCACTATACTAAATTTATATTTTCTCAGATGATTTAAACTTAATTTATTAAATTTTCAGTCCATTATGTGTCCTTAAAATCTGGCTAATTGTGTGTTTCTTCTGTTTATTGATTTAGTAGGGTTCCTTAGAGTGACAAATTTAAAACATCTTTCATGAGAAGCCACGAATGGATCCAGCACGTGGGCACTAGCACTGAAGTCCTCTTCTGCCACTGACCACTCTGTGGCTTTAGCTAAATTACTGGCCTTCCTGAGCCTCAAATTCTTCATGTGTAAAAAGTGGATAGCATCAGATAGTATCCCTCGGGGGGGGGGGGCATGGAGAACATGGATCCATAATTAGAATTACATGAGGAGCTTGTTCAAATTGTGAATGCCTGGGCCCCACTCTCAGTGACTCTGACTTTAGTGTATTTGGAAATAGTCAGTGAATCTGCATTTTTAGTCTTTGTCTCAGGTGATTCTGAGGTACAGTGAACTGCTACTATAAAGACTAGCCAATCATAGAGCACTTACTACCCTGAAGAATATGTAGCCAGCTAATTCTAATAAATATGCTTTTATATGATAGAAATTTAATTAATACTCAGCAGTGTTTGTGCTTTAAATATTCTAACTTCATAGATAGGGGGTCAACTTGCATAAGTAATGCCATTGATTCATTAAATATAGTACCTTTCCATTCTTTTTGTTTAATTAGATCCTTTATCCTTTTTTCTCTTGCACAGGAAATCGCAAAATATTTGTGAACTCAGTCAAAATCAGGAGCCCAGATAAACTTGAAGAAACGTGCGTGCAGTTTCTCAAGATTCATACCCACTAAACCTTCAATCACTGCCAGCTCCAGTGTCCCCCTGGTTTTGAGAAGACTGGACAAAATTCTAATGATGAAAAAGCAAAGGACTTAATAACTTGGTTCAGTTTCATCTAATGCCCATTGAAAAGTGAACCAGACAATAGAACAGCCATGGAAAAGAATTCAAGTTTATGGAAGAACCTAATAGATGAACACCCAGTCTGTACAACCTGGAAGCAAGAGGCGGAAGGAGCCATTTACCATCTTGCCAGCATTTTATTTGTAGTAGGTTTCATGGGCGGCAGTGGATTCTTCGGGCTCCTTTATGTCTTCAGTTTGCTGGGGCTTGGTTTCCTCTGCTCTGCGGTCTGGGCATGGGTAGATGTCTGTGCTGCCGACATATTTTCCTGGAATTTCGTGCTCTTTGTCATCTGCTTCATGCAGTTTGTTCATATTGCATATCAAGTTCACAGCATAACCTTTGCCCGAGAATTCCAGGTGTTATACAGCTCCCTTTTCCAGCCCCTGGGAATCTCTTTGCCTGTCTTCAGAACAATTGCTTTGAGCTCCGAAGTGGTTACTTTGGAAAAGGAGCACTGTTACGCCATGCAGGGGAAAACTTCCATTGATAAACTCTCCCTGCTTGTTTCAGGAAGGTTTGTACTCTTGATGTCTGAATGTCTTTCCTGTGTTTTAGTTGTTTTTCTTTGCACTGTATTTTTCTGTCTGAGTATAGCATAGTACTATGTGGCATTTAGCACTCTGTGACCTGGAAAAGTCTTTGAGACATGAATCATAAATGTAGGCATTGAAGGGACATGGCATTATTTACTTGAAACCAGAAATAATCTAGAGCCTTACTTCTTGGTCTTAGAAATCAAATGACTTGGATCTTAAAGCTAATGTATGAATTTATTTATGTGGATATATTTACTTCCTAGCTAACCAGCAAGAGTCAAGAAGAGGATGATGCCAGCTTGAATTAATAGAATACTTACGTTGGTGCACAAAGTATTTTAAATAGACTCTTTGAAAAACTATTCTTTTAAGTAACAGAAAACTTTTAATTTTATAATGGTCATACATGTTCAGGAAGTTCTGGCAATTGGCCACTTTGAAAAGTTTGAGGGTGGAAACAATAATGTGTTAATTCTATGTTTTTAAAAAGCTTATAGAGGTACTTATAGCATATCTCCTTTATGTTCTTAAATGTCCTTCTCCTTAATTTAAAACTCTGGGTGTACTGAATCTTTTTTTATTGAAGTATGATATACACATAAGTGGACACATCACAAATGTGCAACTTGAATTTTCTGATGAATTTTGCTCAGTATTCCATATTCACAAGTGAGGAGCATTAGTACATGAATCTTATGTCATGTGATTTATTGTAGTATATGTATTTAATATATTGCCCTTCAAAATTCTAAAGGGAAAAAGTCACCAGAGATCTGGAGTACATTTCTTTACTGCCTTCCCCCTAATTATGTACTCTTTCTCTCCTTGCCTGATAAGTGTGATGTCCTTGTGTTTTCATAGGATCAGAGTGACAGTTGATGGCGAATTTCTGCATTATATTTTCCCATTTCAGTTCCTGGATTCTCCTGAGTGGGATTCACTGAGACCCACAGAGGAAGGCATTTTTCAGGTAAGGGATAACCCAACAACACAATGTCCCTTGACCAAGCAGACAAATAATATGTTTTTAAATAAGTAAGAAGCCCAAATTAAACAGTAGGTACCCAAGAACAATTTATAGTTAACTTTGGGATATATTTCACAGCGCATGTGTGTCCCAATTCTAGTTGAGTGTTGTTGACTAATGTCACTCACTTTATAGGTCCAGCAACAAAGAGAATGGGTATTACGTATGTCAGGAAGGAGTGAGTCTCTGATACATATGCAAGATTTCCTTTGTGAAACCTCATATTTGGTGATTAAAATGTAATTAATTGAGATTTCCATATAGACTAACACTACCAATGTGATAGTTTAGAAAACACCAAGAACAAAAAACTGTTTGTTACAAAATAAATGATTTTTTAAATTTAAAATGCTGATGGATTTCAGTATTTTCTAGTAATGTCACTTCTGTGCTGTCACATCTGGTAGCTTTGAAAGACTCATTTCAGTAGGTTTTATTTATTACATTATATATTTTCATATGAATTAATACATACAGTATGCATGTGTATGCAAATATAGTCATATGCATATGCAAAACAGGTAAATTCTAGGGTTAAATGCCCACAGTCTTTGTAACTGACTTGGATATACATACTTGTATTGCATGAGCCAACCTTATTTTTTGCTTTTAGTATCAAGTAGCTTTGCCTTTAGTAAAATGTGAAACATAAATACCCAAACTTAGAAAAACCAGTAAGCTGGAGATAGGTACAGCATTATAATTATCTGTATTATAAATTACATAAGTAGGAACAAATTATGTAGCTTTTAGATTTTTACAATATATTGTAGGTGAGCTGAATATTTTTAACCTAAAAAAGAAGTAAGTGAAATTCATTTAAAATTTGGGACAGAAAGCCAGGCACTGGTGTCTCATGCCTATAATCCTAGCTACTCAGGAGGCAGAGATCAGAAGGATCTGGTTTGAAGCTAGTCCAGGCAAATAGTTCGCTAGACCCCATCTCGAAAAATCCCATCACAAAAAAGGGCTAATGGAGTGGCTTAAAGTGTAGGTCCTGAGTTCAAGCCCCAGTACCACAAAAAACAAACAAAACAAAATTTGGGACAGAAAAAATGTGACTGAATTTCTTCCTTGCTAATCTCCATTTATATGTGGTGTTGTGTTTTTTAGGTAACACTCACAGCAGAAACTGACTGTCGATATGTTTCTTGGAGGAGAAAGAAACTATATTTGCTTTTTGCTCAGCATCGTTATATCTCTCGCCTGTTTTCAGTTTTAATTGGCAGTGACATTGCAGATAAACTCTACGCCTTGAATGACAGGATATATATAGGAAAAAGGTATCACTATGATATTCGGTTACCCAACTACTATCATATGTCAAGTCCAGAAATGCCCAGAGCACCCCTGACAGGACAGTTTCGGAATTCCAGGCAATATTGTAATAAATGACATCAAAATATGAAGTTTTATAACTATCAAAAAAAAATCTCTTCGTCATTCCCCAAATGAAGTAGCAAAGTACATAAAATTGAGCTCACTAATATTTTTATAACAAATTCAGAGACAAGATGCCATTACCAGCTGTTTTGTCTCAACTTCTTTGTTGCAAATAAATTTTACAAAGTTTTCTTGTGTTTTTTATTGTTCTGATTGGGGGAGGAGGATGAAGAATGATGGACAGTTTGCCCTTTTTCTGCATCAGAACTATGAGAATGTAATTTTCCATTCTCAGATTTTCTCGAATGTATTGTCTTGCCCTGTTGATTTAGGCTTTGCTTCTTAGGAAGTAGCCAGCTAGTGTTCTCAGCAGGAGAGCCGTTGCTACTGTTCACACAAGCGTTTCCAGAATTTGCTTTTTTGCTATACCCTTTGATGAAAGCAAGATGCATTATTGTTGTGGGAAGCAATTATTTATTTTACATGCAAAGTCATTTGATATGACTAAATAGTAGAATAAATGTAAGAAATAATAAATAAGCCAATCTTAAGGACTGTTTTCTTGCTACAAATAAGTCCTAAGCTTATTCTTTATAATACCATTCTAAAAGAGGCATTTCATAGAAAACAAAACTGCATAGTAATTACTGAGCAAAAAAGGAGGTCTATAACAAATAGTAAAAATGTTGCACAGCATTTCAATTTCATAGGCTGAGCTGTTTGACTGGATAAGGAAGGCCTCACAGTGAATACTCAGGCCACTACACACACACACACACACACACAAACACACACAAGTCTGCTTGACACCACTCCTGCAACCTTGTGAAGAAGAGTTTAAAAACAGATCCTTAGTTGCAGATCTAATCCTTAGCTTGAGAGAAATTGGTTGTCTGAAGATCACATATAGGCCATGTTTCTTGGTAGAAAGATACATTATACATTTAACAAATGGGTACTGAGCCCCTTCTGTGGCTCTGGGTGCTGAATGGGCACTGACAAATAACTGGACTCCATCCCTCATGGAGCTTAAATTCTGGAGTGAGGGAGAAGATATTAAAATAAATCAGAAAAACAAACAATTACAAAGTTGTAGTGCCACAGAGAAAGATAAATCAGAGAAAGTGGGTAGGAAAGGGCCCTGCAATTGTAATAGGGTGGTCAGGGACAGTCTCAGCAGGAAGGTAATGTTTGAATGAAGACCTGAAAGAGGCAGAGGGACATTCTATATCTGGGCAAAGGGGACAGCATGTGAGAAGAGTAGTGGAAAGGCCAGGAGCAGAATGAGTTCGAAGGGAAGAGGGGGGTGGTGGGCAACTGTGGGCAGACAGGGTGGGACTTAATAAGTCATGGTAGGGACTTTGACTTTTATAAGTGGCCAGAAGCCATTATAGAATTTGAAGTAGAAGAGTGATGGGATCTGCCCTATGTATTTATTTATTTATTTGGTGGTATTCAGGGATTTGCTTTTGCAAGGCAAGAGCTCTAATGCCCTATGTTTTAATAGGATCAGTGGGTAGCCTACTGAGAACAGACTATGTGGCAGTGAGGACCATAGTGGACTTAGAAAAAAAGTTAAGGGGCCAGATGCCCACTGAACATTGAAGTATGTAGCTGAATATGAGTCTGTTCAAGAGAAAGGTCTGGGTTGGATACAGCTTTGGGATAGTCAGAATATAGATGGTATGTGAAGCCATCAGCCTAGGTGAGATGGCCAAGGAAATGAGTATACATGCAAGTTGAAATGGCTCAAGAACCTTACCTCCATTGTTAAGAGGACAGGGAAGTGGGGAAGTCAGTAGAGAGGAGAAGGAGCAGCCAGTGAGGTAGAAGAACATCAGGAGAGTGTGGGGTCCCAGAAGACAAGTGAAGAAAGTGTTTCAAGGAGAAGGAAGTGATGAACTGTCTCAAATGTGGGTGAGAGGTTGCATGGTATGAGATCTGAGAATAAACCATTGGGTTGAGCAACATGGAAATTATTGGTGAACTTAACACCCCAGCTTTTGTAGAGTGATTAGGAACAAAAACTTGACCAAAACAGGCCTAAGAAGAACAGGAGGCAAGATGTTGGAAGGGCAGGTTTTTTTTTAAGCAGTTCTAGTGTAAAGGTAAATAGAAATGGACAGTAGTCTGAGCAAAGAAGTGGAGTTGAAAGAGAGGTGGCATTACTGTTTATTTAAGATAGGAGAAATAATGGCACATTTGTATGCAGACAGGCATGATCCAGAGTGATAAGTGACTTTATGGAGATGACCTTGAACAAGTGAATGATAATGGGATTCAGTGTTCTTAAAACAGGTCCATGAACAATTCATCATGGGTAAGGAAAGGAGACTGAGTAGAAGAGAGTCTGTTGCTGCAAGGGAGTTTGGGAGCAAGCTTGTGAAAGTTCTGTAGTTGTTCTTTCTGTTTTCTCAGTGATCGAGGTAGCAAAGCAGCAAGGAGCACAGGGGAGAGGGATAGTGATTATAAGTAAAGCATATTACTTTTTCTGTATGCTACCATCTGCCATAGTGGGACTGTGTGACAAGGTTTGAGTCATTAGTCTCGATGAGCTACTGAACTACAAGATCAGCTTGAACTAAGGGAGCAGCTGGGATGGTTTCCTTTGTCTTGCTGTACATAGTCATCATGGGTAGCTCTACATGCACAGTGGCAGAGATCTGTCAGCGCAGTCAAGTCCTTCAGGTAGCACCCAGTGGCTTGTTAGTGGGCTTCATAGTGGCTCTGGGAGAAACTTGGTTCTTTGTGTCTTTAAGATTTTGTGGTGTTAAGTATTAAAATGAAGAGCATCCCACCTTACATTAATACCAGGTAATAATTTAACACCTTAAATCAGAACCAGGTAATATTTTAACAGGGATTAATTATCGGATCCTTTTCTTTATAAAAGTTAACTGAGAATAAAGCCACACAGAAATGGGGTGTAGATTTTTCACTCAGATCATAAGGTAGAGGGAGAATGAGAAAATTTTATATTAGGAGTTTTTGCAGAAATCTATTTTTAGTATGGAGAGGAAGAGATACAAACATAGTGGGATAAACGGTGCTGAAAAGAGGGGTAACGGAATACACTGAACTTCAGTCTTCACTTTCATGCAGGGCTGGCCCCGTCCCTCAATACTAGCAGATATGTGATAACCCAACACCTTGTTTTGTACCCAGGATTTCGCTCTTGAACAAGTAACGTGAAAAACCCCTCAGTGACCTCATTATAACTATACTGTATGTCTGGCTTGAAATGACTCGCAGACCACATCTTCCTGTCTCAAACACTATTCAACCCATATGTAAGATAGAAATGACAGATATCCTAAAAAAGTACCTCAAAGTGCAATTCCATGGTGTACTGCAAATTTAATTTCTATTAAAAATTAGGCTTATTTTAGCCTCAGCTTAATTGTTTCCACTCTTAAATTCCTTTTATCATTGGTAAAAGTACAGTAAAATGAGGAACAGGGTTATGTTCCTATGTTTAAAGTGCTTTATAAAAAGATCTGTATATTCATAAATAAATGGAATGCCTTGCTCAATTGTATTAAAATTTCAAAATAACAGAGCATTAAAACAAGCTGGGGCTCTTGTAAGCCACCACCCATTGTGATCACCCAGATCACATTCCCAGAAGGCTGGCCCTGGCCAAGAGTTGCCCCAGTGACTACAGAATTGGAGTGACTGTTTAGTGATTTTCTGTCGTCAATTTTGTGATCAGAAAGGACTCTGAAGAGTAGTGAGGAGGAAAAGAACTAGATTTGACATAAAATGAGCCCCTAAATACCCGCACCTCAGTCACCAAGCTCCCCGAGTTTGTGGCCCCTCTTGCAGGCCTTTATTTCATCTGGATATTTGGAGGCTTCCTGTGCCCTTGGAGCTATATTCTCTTGAACCTGATTGACCTCTGTGTGCAGTTACAAGAAAGGACTATGTGATTTGCCCTGGAGTACACACCAGGGCATTAATCTCATGCTCTTAAGTCTAATCTACTGTAAAGAACAGCATGAAGTCCTCCAGCACGTGTGGACTGAGGAGTTCTCTCTCCTCTTGAACAGAGGAGCAAAAGGAAATTCATTTGCTCTCTACTCATCTGGATAAACCCTGGATGTCATATTGTTACATTGTACAGACCCAGAAGGACAGAACTGATTTGACAGAGCAGTTACAAAGTGAAATCTCCTGACTAAGCTGAAAAAAGCCATAAGAAAAAACTAAGCAGACATGACTTATTATAAAAGCTATATGTATGATGTGCACGAGATGCCTCATTTGACTAAGGCCATAAATCTGTATGTACCACTGCATGGCACTTTCTTACTGAGTTCCATGTTCCTCTATATTGTGAATTGCTTGAAAAAATTAACCTTCAGAAACGATGTTCTTCATTAATAATATTTTATAAAAGTTTTATGCATAAAGAGATCAATGAGCCCAATTCCACTATTTTTTTTATTCTACTAAAATTTAATACATATGCCAAAAATATAAGTATTAGTATCATAAGCCTATTATAATAAAATACAGATTTAATTTGATAGAACTATATATTACTTCAAGACCAGAAATCTTACAGTTTCATGAAAGCAGCAAGATTGAAACATTACGTTAGTTTTTAGTCATCTCACGAAGAATATTACCATGATTCCAGTGACAAACATACATTTGCATATAATATCAGCATGATTTGAACATAATTTGATGTTATATTATTATGCAAAATTTGCTTGGTTTTAAAACCTGCTAGCTATTAAAGATTGATAGGGAACTTAAACATTTTTGCCCTTAAGAACTGATTTGTGCCTTGAACTGTAATTTCCCCCTTTAATCTTTTATTTCAATCAAAACTTTGGTGACCTTAATAAGTATAATTTTATTACATTTACAGGACTTCAAAATATTTGTTTTTTGCATACTTTTTAAGCAAGATTTTAGCTCCACGTGATATAGCACCAGATGTTTTCCATTTTTAAAAACTGAGATTACTACTCATTAAATGTAACAGTATTTGTCCAATTATATTATAAAACAATGTTTTACATGTATTTAGTACTTTATAGTTTACAAAGTGCATGTGTACATGTGATTTAATTTTCTTGTTTCTTGAAAGAATCCCATTTTTATGGATGAAGAACAGAGAGGCTGAATCACAGTAAATGGTGAAGAACTACAAGCGTAGTTCTTCAAATCAGTGTTCTTGCATTT